ATATGTTAATGCAGGTCAGATATTATATTAATGCTAGCCAGATATTATGGTAATGCCGGCCGAATAATCTTATTTCGAGATCATATTAAAAATCCCGCGCGTGCCCATCTCTATTTATAGTAGTATTAAAAATTGGTTAATTGTCACGGCAATCACGGGTAGATCGACAAAAATTAACCAATTTGTCTATGAGGTAAAACTGTAATGCCAAAGAGGTTGAGTTTTCTCTTGTAAAAGCGTGCAATACACACTGGTGTGCAATTCCCGCCCTATGTAAATAATTAATAAAATACCTTCAATAACCGTTCCAAAATAAAAAACCAATACCAATCGGAAACCAAACGCTCTCTAAAAATTCCATTTACTTACCCCGTAACGCACTTGAAAGTCGTCTTAGACCGTGCCAAATCAAATCCGCCTCACCTTGACTTTTGAGTAACATTACGCGACATCGCTGAATTTCAACCGACAATTAGTCGCATTATCCTCGATTGTTGGTGTGTGCATTTTAATCCACTTAGCATCTGGCAATATCATGTGATATCGTTATGGCTCTGATTGGTTGATTTCCGCATGAAAAATCCCGTGCTTTTCAGAGAAAGTATCTCTTGCTGGCATTTCCTATGTTCTTAATTATATATATACAACGTATGTCCATTCCCGGTTTAGCGTGGCTATGTAGCGCAGGTACGCGCATACATACGTACGTACTACAAATGTACACATTTATTATGTCATTGTTAATTAAGAAATGATCTGATGCAATTTTGCCATAAATATCATCTGTTTGCGTTTATAATGAGCAATATGATGTTATAATACGCACAACAGATGTTTATAGCAATCGAATAACATTCCGTGACCAATAGGCCTCTTAGTTTAAATCGCGTCATTTCTGAATCATTTACCGTAATTTGCGTATAAATCACCAGTCCGTTACTTAAACCTTTTCGAATGTTTAGACTTGAAATGTGTGCTGTAAAATAATTTACTATAATAACTGGAATATATTTGCTTGAATATATACTGTTATCCTTTTGTTTTACGAGGCATGAATAATACATATAATGACAATACATACTGTATGTAAGCATGTACGCACACAAAAAATAAAAATTTTAGGCATAAAATTTTAGTTTCAGTATCCTAGTTTAAAATGGATTTAATGTGCAAATTACGGATTATTAATTTTTAGACATTATTTGAATGACAATAATAATTTATATTTAACGCGTCCACAACATACTGTAATTACATAATTATTCATAAATATTAATTCAAAAATAATATCAATCCGAAATATGAACAGTTTTAAAACATGCAATTAGCCAATGCATATATTCACTAATTATAAAGGAAAAAGGCGTCATTTACGCCGCATTTATATTTGCTTTATCTACATGCACCGACTCGGGTTACATTATATAAGTGCTTGCTTAAAGTATCGGGATTAGCGTGCTAGTTATTAATTGGCAAATGAGTTCATTGCGCAATTACACAGTTTATGATGTTATTCTTATAGTGTCACATCAACGACACTGTGCCTAATAGAATCATTAAATGACTTGAATCGTTATAAATTATATAATGTGAAATTTCTCAAATTTAATATAAAATGGTCAAGCCTTCTGCAATCTTTCTCTCCCTCATTAAACTAGGGTATATTAAAATCTCCTTTAAATTTATTCCTCTTTCCTTCTAACAGATAAATGCGTAAATAATAAGCAGACATGAATGAAAATCAACGCTACTGTAAATAACAGTTCGAGTACCAAGTAACGTGTTTTATAAACGAATTCTCGCCCATTAATACTTTGGCCAATTACTCGAATATCTATCGCTTTTTTCGTAAATCGGATGGGTAAAAACTTTTCATTTACCAAACATTCGATGTGGAGCATTCAATTCACCATTTACTGCTGAATTGGCAAAAATATCAGTTTTACAAAATTTTATTTACTTACGGACTTTATAACGTGATTAGTCCGTAATTTCCTTCTTTTTCGTTTCATTATCATATTACGCTTCTTCATGTACGTATTACGGTGAACATTTTTTTTTCCTTTAATATAACGGACATTTATATATTAAATGTGCATATGCAATTTTATAATACAATTATGAATCTGGGTGTAATAAGAAATGACGATGTACTGTATTTATGAGTATTAAACATACACAATGTCATGTAATACTTACAATGATGAATAAAGTTTTAGTAGTATCGGACTTTATTTTTTAATGTTCTAAATTATTATACCTTTTATGGTTTGAGTCCTACGAGTGATTTGGATAAGACTATCCATTAAACCGTTTCAAATTTAGGACTAATTTGTTCTCAAATTGAAAATAAACATGCTCTAATCAGATATTGTTATATTCAAACTCTCGCATATATTTGGCTAGTGTTACAGCCATGAGGTCTTTATCGGCTAGCTTAGCCAGCCGACAAAAAAGTTAACTAAGTGGCTGACTAATGACTAAGACCTAATTTTTTACATTCGGAATTTATCAGATATTTACTCAAAATTTTTCCTCACCTTTGCTCGCATTTTATGTTCGATCGGTGTATCTCCAACGGGGATAAAATCGCCCTAAAAAGGTTTCATGACCAATCAAATCTCAAAATTAGTGTAACTTAACACGATCAGGAAAATTCAAAACAAACGTTTGTTTTGTCAAAACCCAAAATTTAGTCTATAAAATCGTCTTCTGCGCATTAATTAAAAGCCTTTCTTGTAAAATTTTGCTATAAGAAATGTTTTTAGACACTAATCTAATGGCAAAGTCCTAACCCTAACTTAAAACAACGAAACTTGAAACTTTTTTGGTTACGATTCTACACTTGTCGTGTATCTCTGTTACTATTGTAAATTAGGAGAGCGGATAACGTTGCACGGTTTAGCCCCAATAGTTAACGTGATATGGATGTAATAAACTAATCTCAAACAAAAAGGGTAAGTATAAACGATGGGATTCGATAATCTATTTATAATAGGGTTGATAGTGATTTAATCGGATGGGATTACAGTTTAAAGGCGTGGCCAGAATTAATATGATATTGATACGGGTTGCGTTATTCTTAAACGTATAATACCTAATTCTTAAGTGATCTCAAACGGTGATCACTCAATTAACGATATAACAATTGATTATCCTATACTAATCGCGTTAATGATTGATCCTATGGGTAATCTAAACAATTATACTACACGTGACGTTCCTTCCTATATAATTCGTTAAGAAGACGGCTCTTAATTACTCTGTAAAAGGTCTATTCGGCCTCAATGCTTACTTCCTTTATGTTAATTAAGAGACCTAGCGTATACTTTACTATTTAATACTTCAATAAACGTCGGGAGGAATCGATTATTCATTAGAGGGTTTCAAGTTGGGTCTAGTAAACCTTTCAACATATATAATCTATAAATTGCTATTAAGAAACTTATTATCTTTGAATTATGATCTGTCATTTTCAACTAAGCTATAAAGTCATTATTGTTATATATAAGGCTAAGCAAGAGACACAGTATGTCTTACTAGTAAAATCCTCAAAGACCAATTACATCTTTTTTTAATCTTTTTCTATATAATTCGCTAATTTTATTTTTGACTAAAAACACCACTCAATCTAGAAACCTGTATACTAGTCTATAAGAATTGTTCTCAGATGCCAATTCTGATTGTTGTATGTTTTCAGATAACCTGATGCACCTAACAAGATAATTTCTACTAATGGTAAAAGATCCACTTTTTTTTTAAATATTTATTACAATTGATCATTATGATACTACTATTTAAACCAGAATAATAATTACTATGAGTAATTTGCACCCCTTTGCATATACTAATGCCTGTTAAATCATTACAACAATAATTACAAATAGTTTACTATACTCTTTCAGTCCTGAGTAAAACAGTCAACTGCTTTTAACTCTGAACAGAAGTGCAAACTGTTAAACCTTACCAATTTTATATTCAAATAATTTGTAAATATATTCATTTCAAAGTTTCTTCAATGAACCTCTAGTTCTCTTACTATTTCTGTCTTCATAGTTCAATCTTCTAAGTCTTTTATTCTGAAAAACATATTAGTTAAATTTCTTTTATTAAGAACTAAAAATGTTTGAAAAATCTTCATATCTTTCTCTAAATACAGTTTCTAGACTTTATAAATAATATCTTTTTGTCAATCTAATAGACTTTTCTTTAATTCTGTTTTTAATAACATTTTGTTGTCTATTATTAGTATTACAAATAATCTTATTAGAAAATTTTCAAATATCAAAAATTTTAAGAACAGTAATTAATTCTAATTAGGCTATCAGATTGCTAAGAGTTTATAAGCCAATACCTTTTTGTTATTTATTTATCAAACACCCATTACCAACCTTTCAATAAAACATCTATATAAACTACCTTCATCTTAGATGGTTTTTAAGCTAAGCAACTATTTTAAGCTTTCAAGTTTTTTACTAATTATTTCATATTTTTTATTGTTTATATAAATAATCTTACTAATTATGAGTAAAAAAATATGATAAATATATAAGATTCAAAATAGTAATAAAAAATTAAATATAGATATTTTAAATAATTTTGATAAATAATTTTTAGGTAATAAAGTAATATTGTATATATTGATTTGTATAGTTTGGAGGTTTTGTTTAATATAGAGTTAATAGGTTATAGAGATTATTTTTTTTATACTAAAATCTAAGTGAATTTTTTAGAAATTTTTGAAAGTTTATTAACTATTGTAGTTCTATACATTATTTTATTTGTTATAATTATATATATAATTTTTGAATGAGTGTTTTTATAAATAAATAGTATTATGTTGAAATATGTGTATATAGTTTTGAAATGATAAAGAAGAGTTGGAATGCATTATATAAACATTTACTATATAAGGTTGATATAGATAGCTTAGAATTTTATAAAAAATTAGTTTTGTCAAATTTTATTTATTATAATTAAGAACAGCATATAAAGGTTCAGTATATTTAGAGTTGACTGTAATAGAAAGTAGAAAAATAAGCATGAGTTTTATTTGATTAATGGTTTTAATTTTATTAATAAAAATTGAATTATTTGTAATGTAAATAATAATATATAGAAGAAATTATTAAAGTTACACAATTATTGGAATAACAGTGATAGTGATTTAAGCTGGTTATAGCAGCTATAGCTAAACTGGCTTAGTTAGTTTAGTCAGCCAATGTAATATTTTTGGTTGGCTAATACAGCTAAAGATCATATGATTTAGTTAATAGTAGAATTCTGGTAAATTCTGAAAAGAAAAATGAATAAATATAAAATTGAATGAAAAGTTTACTAGAAATTTCTGGATATATAGTGATTAGGCAATATTTTTTAGTCAGCTGGCTTAGTCAGCTGAATAAAATCTTTTAGCTTAAATCACTAGTTTTTTTGGGGAAAATAATTGTATAACAATTTATGATATTATAAAGTTTAAAAGAGTATTTTTAGTAAATTTTAAATATGCATTATATTGTTAAATGTGAAGTTGGTAGATAAAAGTAGTGTTTATTTAATTATGATTTAAAATAAGAAAAAATATTTAGTTCAGTGAAACAGATTGTAGAGCTGAAGTTTAAAGTAGAAAGATAAGTTTTATATAACAAAAAACAGGTAATGAGAAAAAATAATATAAATTTTTAGTGAGATAAAAAGTTTTTTGGATAAAGTTAAGTAAGGTAACAAAGTGGTTGAGTTATTGTAAAGATATAAGACCTCTAGCATATACTAAATATAATTTTTCATTTTTGTTTAGAGCTTTTGGAGTTTTTAAATATTTGGGATTAAAGTTTAATAGTTTAAGATTTTTTCAGGAAGTGGCACAGCTCATTGCTATATAAGCTTGGTCTTTAGTGAATATGGTTTCATTAATTGTGGTAGTTACATGAGATAGTGTTAGTTTTTGTACTTTGTGAGTATTTAGAGCAAAGATGTTTTGGAGAGGAAATTGTTTTTGTAAAACTCTTTTTCCATCAATAAAAAAATAAGTTGTTTCTTTTTGAACTATAATTTTGGTAATATTTGTGAAAGTAGAAAAAGTTACTTCAATATTGTTGTTATCAATAAGTTTTGTAACAATACTGATAGAACCATTGCATATATTATTAGAAAATAATTTATTATTTAAGAACATTACTCATGTATCTTTTTGGAGATGTATAGAAGTTGGTAGGTTTGTAAAGTTTTTAAATTAAGAAAAAGAGTAATCATGATTTAGGATTTTGAAATCTAGCATGTCTTTAGATAGAGAGATATAAGTTTCAAAGGTTTTGGAATCAAAAGAAAGATAGGTACATAGAAGTCTGTTTATATTTTAAGCTTCTTGATAAGTTCCTATAACATGTGTAGTAGTATAGAATGTGGCAGGATCATTATCTGAGGTGAGTTGCAATTGAATGAGTGATAATAATCTGATGGATCAGATAAAACTGTCTGAGCTTTAATTCTTGCATGTAATTTTTTATTTTGTAGTTTACAATCTTAGTATATTTTAGTATATAGTATATTAATATGTACAACTAAAATTACTAATAAAGATATGAGCAAGGCCTCACCTTAACACCAAAAAAAAAAAAAATAATCTGATGAATAATCAGCCAATACAAATTTTCTGAAGAATATTATAAAAATCAAGATCATCACATTGTCTTTGAGAAAAGGTTAGAAAGAAGGAAAAGAATAAAAGCCTAAGTAGAAGATTGAAAGACATATTTTGGTTTGACTGGAGGTAGTTAAGCTAAATCACTTATGACAAGAGTTAGTATTCCTCTGAAAACATAATTGTTATTGTGAATTCTGGCAAAGGTTTTGCTAATAAAGGTAAAAAAATTACTATTAATTATTGAAACTTTTTTTATTA